GCTGCATACCACCCTTCTGGGCCTTTATGAATGAAAGCGTCTCGATCGTCATTGCATATCCACCACAAATCAATAATTAAAAGTTCTGGTACACCGGAGGTTAAGGCCGTCAAATTGGCAGGTGTTTCTTGATCGGGCGCTCTCAAATTGTTCACATGGGTGACAGGCAGTTGGCGGAGGTAGCGGTTAAAAGCGGTGTTCCTCAAGGCTCCGTCCTTGGCCCTACCGTATTCATTATATACGGCTACGACAGCGTCAGTGTACTGAGTTGTGATGTGGCCATGTTCGCTGATTATGTTAAACTTTGGAGCGTCATCCGAACTAAATTTGACAAAGAGCGTTACCGGGCAGACCTGACCCGACTCGAGAAATGGATACAGAACTGGCTTTTGCAGTTTAATGTGACTAATTGCAATGTTTTGCGAGTCGGTGGGACCCGATCTCCGAGCCGGATGGTTTACTACATAAATAACATACCATTGCAGGAGGTAGACGCCCAGAAGGACTTGAAGGTGTGGGTCACGGCTTCACTTAAACCGTCGCTCCACTGCTCCAAGGTAGCCAAGTTCGCGATTTCAAGCAAGCATTCTCTATCTTCGGACATTTGTACGGCCACAGCTAGAGTTCGCTATGTAAGCGTGGAAACCCTGGACCTCTAAAGATTTCATCATCCTTGAGAAAGTTCAAAGGCAGGCAACCAAACTCGTTAGTGGACAGGGTTTACTACCCTACAAAACACGGCTATCCAATCTCGGCCTTTTCCCACTGAGTTACAGGCAGCCAAGCGGCGAGCTTATACAGACATTCCGTACAATGCACGGCCAGGACTGTTGTCTCTTACCTGCTGATTTTTTTGAGTTAGCAAACATAACGAACCTCCGAGGTCATCCACTTAAACTACGTGTGACTGGCGCCAGGCTGGACATGCGGAAGTTCTTCTCTTCAAACAGAGTGGTCGAGGCTTGGAATGCTCTACATGCAGATGTCCTCATGTCCATCTCCGTCGAGACTTTTAAACGTAAGTGGGGCCAGTATAACACTAAACGTCATTATGTCACCTGGCTGATATCGCCTTAGCATTTCGACCGATGTTTATTAATGCCGTTATACTACTACCTGTGTTTCAGTAACGTTCGTTTTTATTATTATCCCGAGTCCGTTGAATGTGAGTGTTGGCATTCAACTCGTCTCCATCATGAACTGAGATCGCATCAAGCATCCATAGACTGACTACTGTACAGCACATTTGCTAATGTTAATGTTTTTAGCATTTACCTGACTGGTTCCGAAAAGTGCCAATCCGAAAAAAACTTCTGTATGTTTGATGTTTCTATTTTCAAATTTTTGATACAATTCGCTTCCTTGTAATAAACAGGGAGTTCAAAGTTTCAACACCTATGTTCCCCTCAAATAAACTGAAACTTTATTCCTGTTTGTCCAGACAGTCTACATAGTACTCCGAGGTTTTACACTATGCCAAGTTTGAGGACTGCAAAGCAGAAGACCTAGTTTACACAGGTGCCACGGATTCGATGGTTAGAGCAGGCAACCTCTCTTCTGTTTTGACAACTTTGATTACAATGCGTTTATCCGCTACCTTTTCAAGCAGTACGGAGAAACACGGATTTCTCACAAGCCCAAACATGCCGTGCGGCACTTTACTCGCGATAAATTTCCCCACTACATATGACTTCCCAAGGTGCAAAATCGCATGCTATTGTCCACTTCCGATCCACCAAACATCCACAAAGTCTGGTAAGGATATGATTTGATTACTCATAAAGGCCACGAATGAGACGGCTTCGACATCTCCATGGCAAAATTCTCGGATGTTTTTGTACTGGACTTTCTTTTAGAATGCATTACTGAGATTTCATAGACGAAAGAAATAGAGGGCAAAACCGGTGTAGCAACTGCATGTTGGACTCCCCATGACTTTCGGCAAGAGGTCAGTGATCTTGTAAAGATGATGCTCTCCACTGGGATCATTCAAACCTCTAGCTCTCCCTGGGCATATTCCTTCATACTTGCACACCTTCCTTCATACTACAACACCTATGAGTGTAAGAACCTTGCTTATGCAACTTTTCAGTCGACGGACTACAGGGCCGACTCATTGCCGCACCCACTATGGATCCCGTATGTATGCAGCCAGACGCCCAGCCTCTTATAATTGATAGTGGCATGTACAGCTTCTCAAAAGGAGGGAGTTTTCTCACAGTGAGACGAGTTGTGCGTCAAACGCCAAATCTTTATCCAAACTGCATAGCAGTCGCTACACTTATCTCCAACGTCCACGATCATTGATAAAACTGGTCAGGCCGGTAACGTACGCGAAGGGCTGATTGGCGAGATGGCAGGGGAAACTATAACACTCTCCAGTAGCGACAAGAAAGTGCGCTAACGTGGATGCACTGTCACGCTCCCCTCTGTCCTTGGCGTCGGAGCACCGATGTAGTCGTCGTCAGCATTAGTAAACCGGCACGCCACCACTGGGCGATCGCATAAAGTGCGGACCCCGATACGGCCAATAACTACAGGCAGACAAGACTCATCCGAGAATGCACTCATCTCATACACCAAATGGCCTCATCAGGGTATAGAAAAGGTCCATCATCAAAAGATCACTCCCGAATTGTTCAGCGAGTTTGCAAACCTAATAGCAGGTTAACTCGCGTGTGCAAGGGGTAGCGCGGCTTCGGCGAGCTCGTGATTTGATTGGTTGTTAGGTCGGCTGCGCTGGCGCCGCGAAGGGCGCAAACGGCCGCGAGCCATTGCGCTTGCTTATCGATTGGCTCCGGTGCTCTTTAGTACCCACGCTCTCCCCCGCGCTATTTCCGGCTCTCTCACGTTGGAGTGCGCACGCCGTGCCAGCCTCGACGCTCTCGTTGCCTATTTGATTCCTTTTAGCGTGTTTATTTTTGCTTTTTAGTTACAAGTATGTTGAATTGCGTTAGCAGTCAAAATCGCCGACGTCACCCACGTGGGGAAACACAAAAATAATACAAAGAATCAACGAAAAGGTGAAGGGCATGTCGTCGTCGGACACATCATCTTTGAGTTCGTCAGCCAGCTTCACTGACGATTCTAATGCCTCAACTTCGTACGATGACGAACGCTCCTCTACGTTCGAGTCCCCTCATGTCTATACATAAGAAGACGGTCAGTCATCGCCCAATGTGCCGGAAAAGTAATCGCTTGCACGTGAAACTTTGCGCAAGCGGGCCTTAAGCTCACAAACGCCACACTTCCATCTGAACGATTTTAAGGCCATATCCGCACAGATCCCACCGACAACTAGGCCCCGTAGGACACGCAAAAACCGAAACGGCGGCCAAACAAGGTTTTTGGTGGCCCAATCTTCGCAAACGAGTAACGTGCTGCAGAACGCATCCTAACTTTGCACCCTTCAATTGCCTTATTTCGCGACATAGGGCACCGCCGGGTTGATGAGTACAAGGTTTACTTTACATCCGGTGAATAAAGACGTTGTTTGACCACTACCGTGTACATCCGCCAACAATCAGCGTATCACTAAAATGACCAATAATTTCATTACGCGGGCAGAAGTCCTATCTTAACGCCCATAGGGCACTAATTCTTTTAAGGCCACATTGGTCAATTAGGTGATCTGGCATTCTGGAGCCCCCATCTTACTCCCGTCTATGGGGCTAATTTTTAACGCATTCTGGTGCCGGATGCCTGTAATCCTCTACCAATATACAAGAGGCGAACACCGACATACCCAGAAAGGAGAGATCAAGTAGAACGTACGAACCGTACCATCGTCAACGTCGTGAAGGCTTTTGTTGGGGACAGCCACAATAGTGGCTGAGACAACTGCTCGCCCCATGTGTTGACAGCTTACCGAGATACTGTAATGCTCCGAAGGGTCAAGCTCCCTTTCCTATTCCAATTGCCCACCAGTTCCGCCTTGTCAAATCCTTTTTCTTCGCATCAGCAGGTACTCCACAGAGGTATGTACTGCAACTACAAGAGATATTGTGGATCACAACTTGACAAAATATTTCCGTAGGCGCACCCTACAACCGGCTGAAGGGCCATTTTGACCGAATTACACTTTCCAGTGGCTGTCCGTGCTGTCAAAGCTATGACTGGTCAATAATGAACTATTAAATGTTGCCGGAAATGCAATCACCTTTTCGAGAAGTAATGGGGAAAAGAACACCTATCGGGATCCCGTTTTCATGTGAAAACGAACCAACAAGTCGTCAGGGAATGAAAAAAACCGGGTCATACCGATATCGAATAAACAGATTTTTGAAATGTCTAACATGCGGAAAAAGCAAGGTCTTGGTCAAACGGCTCGATGACCGTCATACCAAGCACTTGGATTTGGGCAAGGTCGACGCATTGTTTGTTGCCGTGCACCGGTGTGCAGCACTATGCACTGAACAATTCGTGGCTTCGTCAGGCCAACGACTGGTGCCGCCAGAAACCGCGTCGCACGTTCCCTGTGTATTGAGATACAAACTATGACCCGTTCGTGTGGCATAACGGCTAGGTCGTTGAGACTGCTTGAGTGAGGTCTATTACTTCACTTCTCCAAAATTAGTTTTTCGCGAGAGCCACGACTGAGTACACTAGATCAGACGCCCTCGTAGTGGATTTGCCCCGTATACCAGGTTGCATTGTCCGTCCCTCAGCATGCGACTTCCTTTCTGTTTAGATCATCTATCACTACATTGCTGCGAGTTTCGACATCAGCTTCTGCCTCCATATGTCAAGTCTAATTTGATACCATTTGGACGACCTTGCCTCAAATAGCTCCAGTTGTAACCAACCCAATCAAATCAGACTAAAATGGTCGGTAACAGGTTTGACAAATAGACTCGTAAAGCCGGTGTTTAAGACCCCAACAACCGATATCCACTGCGCAATGACATTGTCACCGCCTCCCGCTCGTCAGGCAGGAAGAATATTCAACTAAATATCAGAGGCAAACTCATAAAGACAGGTAGATAGAAATCGGTCAATTTTTAGCCACCATGAAGCGTTGATATGAAGGAAATAACATCGCCGTCCTTTACTTCATAATCATCCTGATTAAAGAGGCACCAATCGGCGTCGTTGATGAGAACCAAAATGCCTGGTCTGATTGAGTTTCCCTGCATGAACAGTTCGGGCCTCTCCAGCAACATATTATCCCGGATCCACGGAAGGAACTGTCCCATAGATCTTACACTCGTTGGGATTTCAACTTCGTGTTTCTTCTTGTTCCCAAAGAGAAGCTCGGCACCGCCGCCAAATTCAACTGCAACTTTCATGACTGTCGGTCTACAGTGCTGGTCAGCAGTCACTTTACACGAGATGGTTGTAAATATCACACGATCCGAGCTACGGCAAATGGGAAAAAGTGAGAAGTTAGAGACTGAGGAAAAGTTACAAGTGCGGCTGGGGTTCAATAATCACGAAGTCTCATCTGAAAGACTCAGCTAGTCATTTAGAAGAAGTAAATAAGTTACGGCATACACGTCCGAAAACAGAAATTGTAGACAGATATCGAGGAAGCCGAGTGTTTGTGCTCTAACTTAGGTAAAGTAAACCAAAACAAAGCCGACGGCCCTTACAACACGCGTTGCATTGTAAGTAGTTATGACACAAAAAGGTATAGCTACTCTTTAGGAAGAGGCGGACTACTAAGAGGGGGATGAAAACCGGGAGTAACCTCATGCCAAATAATTTATCACTAAAAAGGTCATGCTGAAACAGTTTGGTGCTTGTGGTTATATCAGTGTGCTAGGTAAAATTCAATGGGTGACTCCCTGTAGCTATGATCGGATAGACTAAACAGGGGCTACTAAAACAAATGTAGTAGGCAGTTGTGCGTACTAGGCCTAGTGGGGTTGCACAACCTATCATTGACCCAGAAAAATAAACTACTCAAGAAAGTGCCACCCGACTTGTCATTCAACGAATTTGACTGAATATCCAGAAATTCAGCGATATAGTGTCGAGGCGCAAGACAGGAAAGACAAAAAAATACAGATCATGGTTGACATGCAATCCCCGTCTAGACCTCCTAGTTGATGTACTTTGTGGAGTAAACAAGTGCATTCTCGAGTTAGTGTCAGCAATGTACAGGTGGTAAAGAACAACGCATCATCTCAGGCGGCCAGTCATACCTGTGGCAGTCTGTCCGTCGTAATTTATGGTAGTTACAGCCTATAGGTTTCACGTAAGTACAAGTGCCTCCACAGAAACCAGGTTTCTCTCAGTCGGCAATAGTTGTCAAAAGACAACATTAAGAAGGAGTCATTTCAGCCTGACCTTCAGTCCAGGGAATCGAGATACGCCGCCAGTTAGAAGCCTTCCAAGACACTATTTTTACTGCGACAGATGCGGTACACTGTGAAAAAGTCCGCAGCAGGACCGAGCCCATCCTTTTTCCTCCTCTAATTATGCGCAAGTGGATATTAAACCAAGCGCAGTCTGGCGTTAACTATAAGGCGAAGCAGTCAGCGGTAGTTTGGAGCACTGTATGTGGGTCGATGCTCCATCCATTGCATCCTACATTGGAGCCACAGGCACCGCAGGACTGGGCGGGTCAGTGTGATTTATCAATTTTTTAGTCCGGTTGGGTGGACTGAAGTCGCGTTGACACTAAAGACAGTGTAGTGAGTTATGGAGGCAAAATCGGCCAAGGAGTGGCATCGGCGGCGTAGAAGTGGACGCGGATGCGTTCATCCGAGACTATCCTGGTCCAATGTTAGGGGGCGCTCACCGATCGTTCATACGGAACTCACTCGTTCCGTTGTGCCTTATGGACTCTCTCTCGAGCCCAACCAGCAGCCGCACAGCGGCGCATGATATATAGGCAGAATAGTATTACCGACAAAGACAAGGGAGACTGGAATGGCCATTTCTGGCTTATTAGCCGTCGTCAGCCAGCCATACCCAGAATGTGTGTGGTCCAGAATGTGTGTTCACATGAGGGGAGGCGAAAGAGTGCTGTTCAGTGCTGGTGATATTCCTCGGCGTTGCCTATATGGTGTCTAGTAGCGCCTTAGCTAGGCGATGAAGACACGTAAGACAGGTATTCTGATCTTGCGTTCTTGTCCCTTTTCTCTGACCTCCCGTGCTCCGTCTAGTTCCAGACTCGTGGTTCCACTTTTCGAGGCTAAGTCCCACACTTGCAGATCCAGGTCAAGGGTCTGTCAGTTCTCCTAATTCATACCGAGTCATTTGAGTGAGGCATTGAAGCTCTGCTTCCGGATTTTTTCTGTCCTTGTCTCCATGAATTCTTATTAACGTCTCCATTGAACTGATTTATTTAGGCATTAATCTGACGCGGGTACTCCACCAAAGCTGCCGTTGCATCGGCGTCACACGCATAGCCTAAACAGGGCAATAAACTCATGGTTCTCTGACCAGACAGATGGGGCTGGGTAGCACACGAAGATCCCTTTCTCCAAATTCAGAATGAAAGGCAGAGTTGGTCAACTTCTATAAAGGCCTCAAACGTCAACGACACTAAAATTCTATCGTAGGTTCTTAGCACCGAGTAGCTGACGGTTTTATTGCTGACAACCACGATTGGATGTCTCAGCTCGGATGGTCTACATATCGACTCCAATTTCTACAGGCTCCATGAGGTCATCGAGCAGGTTTGAGATCAGCTCATTCCTGATGACTGGGGCTGAGTCTTCCTTACATCTATCCTAAGGAATACGGACAAGTATAAAACTGTCAAGGTATAGGCCGCGGAAGTGACGCAAAATGTACTAGCTGTTGTGCCGGATTAAGCGCGACTTTAGGATAAGACATAAATAAACCGGGTTCCAAGAGAGATGCAAATGCACTGACCAGACAGTCTGGTCGTAATTAATTCTAGAATTTCACCCCAGCTGCCAGCAACCGACAGCCGACTGCAGCGTTGCCTTTACCACAGCCTTCGGTTCCGTTCGTCGTGAGTCCCTATTTCGGACAACGATGCTAGAATGCAGGTGAGCAAAATGCATTGTTGGGATCAAGGCCTGTTATCGCTCCGCTGCTGCACCAGTTCTGCCCATAAAAATCTTCACCAGCCGTTTAATATTCAGTCTGACGTTCGGAATGATTGAATTCTGACGTTAATCCTGTCCAGCAGTCCTTGACTGAATTATCAGAATGGTCCTACATGGTTTAGACTGCCATATTTTTACCAGAGTGCTGGTTGACTGACCTCGACTACGCTGACATCGCACCGCTAGCGTGAAGCTATGGTGACCTACAGAATGCAGTAGCACGGATGAATGACGTTCCTAAACCAGTAAGCTTTTTCATAAACCCTAGTAAGATCATAGCTGTTCTCCTCTGCATTTCTGACAAGGAGAGCGTACCTTTTTTGAGTAGTGACTGTCAGCTTGAAGAAGCGGACAGTTCCAAATACTTCGAAGCGAAGTTGTCGTCACATGGATAGAGCAGGGATAACATCGTCTCCCGAATCGATGCTGTCTACACTTTCACAATTCTATACAGTATCTATGGATCCAGCACGAAGTCTCAATTATCATAAAGATCCACATGTACCGGTCATCAGTCCAGCCAGTTCTCCTGAATGGTTGCGAACGTCGGCCCATGAGCGTGTGTAACGAGCGAAAATTCGAGACGGTTCGCCGCCGCCGTTGCTGGAGAGCCATCCTTCAGGTGAAGTACACTAAATTAACCTTCAATGGGACAATCTGCGCTCGCTGTCATAACGTCGCAAGGATATACCAAACCATCAAAAGACAACTTCGGTGTTTCAGGCACATTGTTCGTTATTTGCCTCTTGAGTCTAGTGTTGCTGCCCTACTCAGCTGGACCTTTTGAAGAGGTCAGCTTAAAGCCCGTGGTTCTTGAACCGTCAATAATTGGTTTCGGCGTTAGAAGAGTAACTCGAGCCCTCCGGATTCGTTGTCATTGTCGTGACGAGATGCGCTCCATGACATTGTCGGGCCGGCCAAATCACGCATAAACATAGCTCTATCATGTGCAAGTGCAAGAAAACCTGCAGGGGAAGACAAGCGTCGGCTGGTGGAGGGCCGGATCCCAAGTTTTACCGGGCAGAAAAAAAGGTGTGAAATAAGGACTAACAGATGACGGCGATGTGAGCTGGTTCTGAATCTCAGTTAAGGTAAATTAGGCGAAGTCCGAGAAACGGTGAGTTCAGGTTGAGTTAAAAACATGCCACTAGAGCCTGTTGCAGCGAAGATTACCAGTATCAGATGTAGTCATCCTCCCCCCCCCCCCCTCCAAATGTAATCGGCACACCCCCGATCAGAGTTTACCTAGTTGGTATACCAATTGACTGGCACACATGCAGACTGTGGGTCCGTGGTGCAAGCGGATTCACTTCCCTTATTTACACCCAGACCTACGGCTAGCTAGTTGCCAGTCGGAGCTAGGTTCGGGCCGGATTGCCAACAAGACAACTTCAAATTCAGGTGGGCGCAGTATACGGCCGAGCCCTTTGAGGCAACGAGCATGGAAGACGATGCTGACCACGCGTATTCCTGACCAATCGTGTGCCGTAGACACGACTACAAAAACAAATTCGGGAATTAATACAAACGAAATCGATCAAACGCTCCCAGAAAGCGGACGCGTAAGCACGGGTATCATGTCCCATACCCGTGTGGAATGCTGGCCATTAAAAAACCTCGTGCGGGACCCTCTGTCTGATTGTATACAGATTTCGGAGGTATTAAAAGAGTCCCACATTCTTCGTTGACCTAACTCTCGACTTTTTCTTTACCTTGTCTGGTTGGCAGAAATTTCGACCCCAGGTATCAGAGTTTTCCATTAATTAAAGAGCTTTGATGCCTATCGTGATCGGACAGACAACTCACACTGCAAATTTTGAAACGAACAACTCCGTTTTCGAGGGGCTCGCTTTGGGTTAATTTGGGTCGACTTCGCGCCTATGCGGGATGCGGCATGACGTACATTTGGAAAAGTAACCCACCAATACTACGACTCCAGCAGAATGGTAAGCGTCTACGATACATGGACCAAAATATACTAGTGCCTAGGCAAATTGATTGTAAACTTGTCCAAGCACGCTGGGTCAGTTCAGTACTAGATTCCTGCACAATGCGCGGTGACAACGCCAGTAAACATGGCTATGACCACGCTCTCGTAGGAGATAATATGACGACGAGAAGGCTCGATCAGTGAAAAAACGCAACTGATCGATCCTGTTCGGATGTTTTCAACCGCCTCGTTCCCCTGACACAGATGACAATGACCGCTGATGCTTCTTCAGTGGAGGCCTAGGCATATTGCTCAAAGCGTCTACTAGGAAGTAGTGAACAGCAACAGGCGTGGTCGCAAGGATTATACCTCTGATGACAATATCTAACTGATTTATGGTAATAAGGATGCGCCTTTCGTGGAGATTCGAATAGTAGGAGGCGCGCATAATGAAACTACGCGTTCTGCACGTCATAAGCGCAACGAACTCTGGGGTAAAACTAAGCAAAATCCAGAAATTGTCTCAGATGCTGAAGACAGTAGTGCGACTGCCCATTCCCTGATCTATTCATTTCAACAAGGAAATACAAGAAAGTTGTGGTGATAGTACGCAGGCCAGACGCGGCACTCCGGAGGATCGGCAGGCTCAGTCTTCCTCCTCTGACTGAGGTCTACAGCTCAGGTAGACTTCTAAGACGATAGCACGGCTGAAGAACTAAAAGTACCTGGCGAGGACTGCCGATTTGTTTTGTAGAAGTTTAGTACTTCTTGTCTTAAATAAGCATGAAGGCAAACTGATATATACAATCAACTTATTCAAAGCAAAGTTGATCGCATCCGACTTTGGAGTCGAAGATATCAGCCCGATCACGGCAGGCGGTAAAGCTCGTGGATTGATGGGCAACCTCTGCTGCTTTGGATGGTGATCTATGCCAAACCAGATGAACGAGAATCCAATCAATCAAATCAACCAGGCGCGCGTCACTTCTGCCCGAATTATTAGGAACCGCAAGAGCCGGCTGGAGACCAATCTTAAACTCCAGTTACGGATAGAAGCGGCCACAATAAAGACAATTCTTCGAGAGTGTATGAGACATGGCCCACGTGCTCAGAAGATAGCTACCTCGAGGACATATTCGTTGAATTATACTTGCACTCATACTCTGAATGCACCTCTCCAAACACAAGCTTCAACAATGCCGTTCTTACTCGCCAAACTAGATGCATCCGCTTTGCGCTGCGTCGACCTGAGGGCGATATCTTTCAGAATGTCATCTCGTCCGAAACCCGGCTCTAACTGGCGACGGTGTAGGTGAGAAAAATCGAAGACATGCGAAACCCAACCTAAAGCGTATCACTGATCTTGCAGTGCCCGCCTGCACACCTTTCGTGCCAACTGGCACAACGTCCCTCGACTCTGCTGTCATCTGTTTGTAAGGAGAACCTCAAGCATGGAAGCTGCTCCTGGGTCTTCGGGATTCGAACTCCCTCGCTGCTCAGACCGCTGCCGCGGATAATCCCGCGTGGAGAGGTACAGTCCGTGACAGCATCAAGGCCGGCTAGATCAGGCATGATCACAGCTGTATCAGGTATCAGTAAATACGAAAACCTGGAACTTGGAGTCCGCAGAATTGATCACAATGCATGCTGTCACAAGTACAAGTAAAGTAGTAGTGATCGACTAGTCCATGAAGTGGGACAAGTAGCGTTACCGAAGAGGCAAGAAGGCTTTGATCAATGAGCGAACGCGCACCCGATCTGTGCCACGACCGCCTACCGCACGGCGGTTCGATTTCCTGCCAGCTACGCACCTTTTAACAGGAGCAAATGACAAAATTTATCATACCCACGAATTATCACTTTTTGCCGCCATCGGAAACATGCCGTCACAGTGTTCTGGAAATGCAAGTATTAATTTGTTGTCTTAACACGATATACCTTAGATACTGTATACGAATGATAAGAGGTACAATTTGATAAGTAAGAACGAGGTTATTTAGGCAGACGTTACTGCCCCGTACGACCTCTTATTACCTCGCCATTAATACTTCCACGAGTGAAAGAAATACTCCAAAATTTCTGACACAATCCTATCCACAACAAAAGCCATCTGTGACGAACAGGATGCTCTTGTAACAACATAAAAGTATGCTGAAGCCACAATAGAAGCAATTGTGATATTGCATTGCTTGACAGAATGTAGACTGCAGTCACTCGCAGTTTAACATGTACAATGTATCTGCAGTTCTTGCACCTTTAAGAGAAAACATCTCTCCCTGAGTGGCTGTCTTCAGTACACCGTTTTCCGTAATTCAGAAGTCGCTGAACAATTATTCAACGACTGATGAGACAGATTCGCGAACCAGATGAAACTTCCATAATTCATTTCAGGCTGTGTTTGCCACCTCAGGTTTCTACCATATTCATTTGCTCCATTCTACCTCAACCATATATAAACTCGGCAACTAAACTGTATTCGGGCTAGCTGACTCCGGTTGAAGATTTTTATGGAAAGTGGTGATCAGTCTCTTAAAACCTTAAGAAAGCATCGCTCAAACTAAGGAGCAAACAGTGAGAGGACGCGGAGGGTAGAAAACCACTAGCAAGACTAAAATCTACACCTGGCACAGTTTAGTCGGCTGCTATGCAGGCGGACGTCTTGTACTTGGGTGCAAAAACTACATAACCAGCCTTGTTTCAAGAATGGAGAACGGCAGTCCTAGACACTTCAATCCTCATCCACGAGCTGCGGCGGTTGTTAAACCTCAACTTGTGAATCTGGGTAGTCACAAACCACCGTAACAAGTCTGTGAGTAAGCTCCAACTATCAGGAATACCGTTGCTGATAAACTCAGCTGACTATTGTTGTGCATTTCTGTCTTTTGTGAGAAATGAGTGCCAAAAGCAAGGAAGAGCTAGATACATTGAATTACTTGGCCAAAGCGTGCACTAACCTCTCATCAACGCCACATTTCACACACCTTGCTTTTTTATTAAAATCTGTAAAGGCGTGAAATGCAATCAAAGCAAGGGGTACCCAGGGAGTTTCCTGGCAACCCCTCGCTAGCAGACAAGCCATAACGACCAAAAAGTGAGTAGGGCAGCACTTTAGCCACAATAAAGAGGTGGAAAATTACTAAAGGAGGGCAGTTGGAGAGCTTTCTCTTCCTGTCCTACTTCCCCCTTACGTGGGAGAACGAAAAAAGTCGTAAGCGAGCACGTGGCACGAAAATCGTCAAGTGAAATAAGCGAATTTTCAAACGCAGATGTACGAAAAGTGAGAATAGTGCGTGGTATCATTATATTGTCGGATCTAATTGAGTAAAGATTCTCACGTTAGGCTGGTGAGGTATTGCCTCCTGCGCCTGCACTTCGGCCCATTCAAATAAACGTGGCCTTTCATGGTAGTCGACTGCCGATTCCAGGGACCCTTGTAGTATGACGTCGGGGTCCGTAAACGTATAGAGATTAGTGGAATTTTCTTAAAAGGTCCGTAATGGGGCGCTTTCGATCCTCTGTTTACATGTTTCTGCCCTGTTGGATTTACTCAAACACGTGTTATTATTTCCACCGCCACACACGAATTAAATTAATCCCAAGAATGCTCTGATTAACACATGTTAGACAGGGACAACATTTCTATGTCACAATGGTATAAGTTCAAGATAGGGTGGATGTTGCTTTAACAAAAAGTGTCAGTTCTGACTCTGTAGCCCGTCTGATTCGTCTTCAGTCCAGTTCTGATCAGTTGTTTGAGGAAAATAAGCGTGAGTCCTTGAGTACTCTCTTTGAAGCGTAGTATTGGGTGCAGTGTGCAGGGAAACTATGTAAATTCAAATATTACAAAGGGAACCATGTGAATACTTATATTTGAGCTTTAGTCTCAAGGGTTGCCTTTTTCCATGATTTAACAACTCTGCCAGAGAGGGAGGTCTTCTGCACATTAAGCCATGCCAGCTGAGCTCGCATATATTTATGGGGTACCCCGGTGGTCGACTATGCTGTGGTCTTGCATAAAACGCAGGTTAAACTAATGGGCCGACAACCTCCGGAATCCTGCCTGGACCCTTTTTTGTACGTCGGGGAAATTAAGGTAGTTTTCCATATATCCGCTAGTTCACTTTCTTTCATGGTCTTTTGAAATATCCTGGACATCGGTTTGCACAGTATGTCCGTCAATTTTTGAAGGGCAAGCAGAGGAATTCCATTTGGACCAGGGACTTGGAAAGCTTCAGTGGGAGTATTTCTGCCCTTATCGATATGAATGAAAAATAAAAATTATCTCAAATGCAGATGATGCAGAAACTCGTTGCTGCTCTGGGCAGGTGAGAAAAGGATCTGCCTGATAAGTGAACACCGAATAAAGGAGGTTAGAGAGGGCAGATGCTTCCGTTTGTCCCTCCATCTTCATTACTCCGTTCTGGGACCTCAGTGCCGGAATCAAGTCACGATTTGTTTCGCTACTACGTATGTAACCGTATGGGACCTTGGGATGCTCGTAGAGTTATGCAGTCTGTTTAGCTCATAAGTTCTCCTGTTGTCTATTATCCTCACTTGCACATGTATCTTGCCATGGCTTGTATTCTTCCAAGTGTTCGATATTCAGCGTTATTTTTAAACCATTTCACGTCTTATTTCTCCTATTAAGGATTATTTGGGTTCCTGGTTTACCCACGGCGGACAGTGGTCTGTTTACTTTCGTTTGAATGGCCGCTTTGGACCAGTGATTCTTTTAACTAACGAATTGAACTTGCTCCAGTATTCTGTAACTGTTCCCTGTAATGAGATATGTCCACGGTAGGGCCCAGACTTGTATTCGCATGCTGAATAAGCCCCCTTTTCCAGAGGCTGGTTTGTGAATGTTTGAGTAAGTTGGCCTGAGAGAACATGTAATACTCAAAGACTATTAAAATTGGACAGTTAGAGACCATCAGAGGGTGCTTTTTATAGATCAGGCACACTCTCCTTATCTCGGTTGAGCAAACGGTTAAAGCAATTTAAACGTTCTTCTCCCCTAACACATGCTCCAGAATTACACTCTCAATAGTGGTTTGTTTGTTTGTTTGATGATCGAATGAATCCGATAACCCAAAGCAGTCTAAACTTTCCACTTGATATTGAGAGCGTTGAAGTCCTTAAGAATAAGGACATCCTTGTTCAGGAAGGTCTTTTAAAGTCCATCTAGGTGAAGGCCATCACGTTCGGCGACCTGCTTGTTGGAATTGCATGCAACTACAAATGCCAGTGGTCGGGCGAATTCTGTACAGATAGTTTCGGGTGACAATTCTGCCTCTCATGTCGTCGGATTTTGCTCAACCATCGTGATTGAATTGCAACTTACATAGACAGCGACCCCTTTTTACCCGGCTACTCCCTGTCTCTTCTAAACCGTTGATAACATCTGAAGGTCGCCTCATGTTCCTCAGTAATTTTAGTAAGTTATGTTTCTGCCAAGCCAATCATATTTGGTATGCGATCGCCAACTAAGGTTTTGAGTTCAGTTCTTTTACCGAACAGGCCCTGTACATTCAGGTACACCACTTTCAGCGTCGGTCTTCTTTGTGGGTACCAGCCCTGATTAAAAAGGCGTCGATCACAGGAACGACTGTTTAATCTGTATTATCTTCTCTTCCCTCATTTTTAACCATTTCTTCCTCTTCTGTCTTCACCCTCTGTTCTGTCCAGAGTTCCCTTAGTTTGTATCCTTCTGTCAGGTCATTCTCCGGCTGAAAAACACCTCCCTCTGCGAATTACGAGAAGCCGTTCTCTCTTCTGGGGGATTTGAAGCCTGGACTTCATTTTCAGAAATAATTTTAGGAGTCCACGATGATGACAGCCCAAGCGATGCATCACTGCTTCCTAGACAGAAAGCTTTGTGCACGGAAAAGTACTCTCCATCTCGAATAATGGCATTTGAGTATGTTCAAAACAGGTTGAGGTCATGCACAATCCATTTCCTTTGTAATCGAAGAAGTTGACTCGGGAGGCCGTTTTATGGCGTTTTTTCGTTTTCGGTCACGACGTTTGCTTGGTTATTTGGCACTCTGGTCCTTGATGAAACTTCGACACCAGGAATAATTGTATTATGGCAAACTGCTAATTGCGTCTGCATTCACCCCACTTCTAAAAGTTAATAACAAAAACACTTTTGTGGATTTCTTCGGATTATCTTTCAGTGACCCCTGTAACACCAATGACATCCCTCATGCCAGTTTTGTATTCTTGTTCTTCGTTGCTACTAACTGTTTGTTAATAACCAAACTTTAATCGCACCACCCTGCCTTTGTTTCTGTATCTCTAATCGTTAGTTTGTGCCGAGGCGCCAGACTATCTTGCCTTTCCCTACCTGTTCCTCATTCTTGAACTTACTGGTTGTTTAACTGAATGGAATGAACACAACTCGACGCGACGCGCTTGGCATGAGTGGGATTGTCAGGTCGTTTGACTTTTGATTATTAATTCTTCCATAACTCTGGTCTTATCCTGATTTTTATAGTCTGGGATTGACGGTTCTGTCTTTGACGCTCGCTACAGTGGTGACCCCTTGACGTTCACGCTTATACCTTTAATTAGTCGACTTCCAATTTGCATAGCGCCCGTTTGCCTTCTTTCTTTCTACAATTATGTCCTCTACGAATTCCAATGATCCCACTTCTTCTCTCAGTGGACTTGTTTCTTCCCTCCCAGACTTTTGGCAACATGCGCCAGAACTTTATTTTTTCCGTATTGAGGCGANGCTGGTTTCCGACCGCTTCGTCTGGCCTGGTATGCACAAGGACCTGAAGGCATGGACACGGGCTTGCATTGCCTGTCAACGGAGCAAGATCCAGCGGCACAACAAGGCCCCCATTGGTACCTTCCCCGGCCCTGGTGCAAGGTTCAGCCACGTTCACCTGGACATTGTAGGCCCCCTGCCTCTGTCCAATGGTTGTTCCTATCTCCTCACCTGTGTGGATCGGTTCACTCGGTGGCCTGAAGCAATTCCCCTGCCTGACATTGCTGCTCCAACGGTGGTCAAGGCTTTTCTCAGTCGTTGGGTTGCTATCTTTGGTGCACCCTCCACAATCACGACTGACCGTGGTGCCCAATTTGAATCTAATCTCTTCCAGTCTTTACTCTCCTTTTTAGGCTGTACCCGCATCCGGACGACAGCCTATCACCCGGCTGCTAACGGGATGGTCGAGCGGTTTCACCGCCAGCTGAAGGCCTCCCTACGCGCCGCGGCCGATCCGGAGAACTGGACGTATCACCTTCCCCTGGTCCTCTTGGGCATCCGCTCCGCTCTCAAGCCGGACCTTGACTGTTCCGCAGCTGAACTGGTGTTCGGCTCCACCGTCCGACTCCCCGGTGAGATGATCTCGCCAACCCCTCAAGGTGCAGTTGAGGATCCTACCAACCTCCTGCATCGTCTCCGGCAGTTTATGCGGACACTTTCTCCGGTTCCTCCCAGGTCTTCCGCCTCTCCGTCTTATCTCGAGAAGGACTTGGCAACGTGCTCTCACGTCTATCTCCGATGTGATCGAGTCCGCCGGCCTCTGGAACCGCCCTATGACGGCCCATTTCGGGTGCTCTCTCGCGGGCCGAAGACTTTCCGCATTCAGCGCGACAATCGTGAAGAGGTCGTGAGTGTGGACCGCCTCAAGGCTGCCGTCCCTGACACTCCTCCGGATGAGCCCTGTGGTCCTCAACCTTCTGCTTCCCCCCACGTAGCCTCTATTCCACCGTCCCGTATTTTCCCTCTGCCCTCCTGTCCGCCATCGCCGACTGCCACCACCAACTCCAACACATCCGCCACCAGATTTATTCACTCTTCTACGGACCCTGTATATATCACTCGTAGTGGTCGTCATGTACACTTTCCTGATCGGTTGGTCACGCATTTCTTTTAGACCTGTACACATCCTTCGGCGTCGTTTTCGCCGGCCTCCGGTCTCGGAGGGGGGTACTGTGCCGAGGCGCCAGACTATCTTGCCTTTCCCTACCTGTTCCTCATTCTTGAACTTACTGGTTGTTTAACTGAATGGAATGAACACAACTCGACGCGACGCGCTTGGCATGAGTGGGATTGTCAGGTCGTTTGACTTTTGATTATTAATTCTTCCATAACTCTGGTCTTATCCTGATTTTTATAGTCTGGGATTGACGGTTCTGTCTTTGACGCTCGCTACAAGTTCTCGTCGTTATTTGTTCATTGTTCTTTGTCCATTGTCTGTTGTTTTTTGTCTCTGTTCGCTTTTAAACCGCCGACTGCTCGTCTAATCACCTTGAATGTACATCCGCTTTTCAATTTATTCCCCGCCTTACTCTATCGTACTCCTCTAATCTTACTGTTTATTACTATAGAACCACAAAGAATATCCGAGTTATCCCAACCGTCTTCTGACATAGCTTTGACCTCGGGTGCGTCTATTCCGGCGAATAAACTAGACCTGAATCGAGAAAAAACTAATGAATACTAACAACACCGGCATCGGATTCCGTTCGAACGTCTGCTGTGAAGAAGAAGCTTCGGTGTGAATTAGACCTATTTTTTAATCTTCTTAAACTTCCTCGTGTCCGGCTCTTCGAAGTCGGCAAGGTTTTCGACATCAGCATTTACAGAAGCATCTATCGACGACACCGCATTTGGTCGTGCACCGAGAATGTTTGTGATTCTGGTTAAACAGGGTGAAAGTGGCCAGATGCATGAAATTTCTTGGGCGCTCCTTCGGACGAGAAAAATGCGCGCTGTTTACTGTGCCCTGTAGACACGATGTACGTATGTTTGCATTTACCAAGAGCCCTCTGAAGCGACTGCATGTCACCACGGAAATCTGGGAGGACCTCGCCTACGACAGACCAGCATAAAGATGAGCAGTGTAGAATACCGTGGTAATCTGCAATGCAAGCCAGATCGCCACTGTCCATACCAAAGTAGCTTCTCACAAGTCCCGATAAACATACCGCGCGTGTAGGCTTCTAACGTTCTCACGACGAATACCATCCACGACTTACTTTTCGCGGACGACTGAGCAACCAACACCATGGCCAAAGGCAAAATGTAACAGAGCACAGACCTCTTCACAGCCAGCTGTGCCAACTTCGGACTGACAATTAACACGGACAAAACGGTGGTCATGCACCAACTGCTACCCACCGTTTCATACTATGTTCTTAGAATTCACGCCTACAGCACCGATCTGAAGCCCGTGGACAACTTCTGTTTCTTAGGCAGCACGCCCTAACGCTGCATCAAAATACCCGACGAATTGACTCTCTGGCTCTCTAAGGCTAACCAAGCCTTCGGCCGCCTGCAAAACTCAGTATGGAACCGCCACGGGTCCGCTGAACAAGTGTGCGGTCAAGAATGTAAGATCAACGCACACAATAACTTCATTTTGTCTAATATCAGAAGTCAGGAAACTGTGGGAAAAGGTTTATTCTGTACACAGAGCAGGTTGCCTAGAGTTGTCCATTTGCTTATGTCAGAGCTGAGCTTTCGTTCCCGAAGAACGTCATTCGCGATGTACATGTTCGTGTCAGCAGGAGAGGGTGACTGGCTGAGTGTTGGTCATATGTTTGGACGGGTTAGGGGAGGAATAGGGGTGAATACTTACAAGGACTCACCAGTCTTACGCGCATGAGGTGGTGAAAGTTTTTGGGGGCAACCATGAGTCACTAAAGCTAGACAAGAGTTGCCTCGGTTCTGGCCGGCGGATATGACTGTTTGCAAACTGCGTGTCAACAGTTGTCGCGGCCATCGACCGACAAAACCGCGCAGGAGAAGAAGACACTGGCGTGGCTACTACACACTGGGCGGAAAATGTATAAAACATTCATCCTGACGACAATTCTGTAAATAGTGAAGACCTGGACCAGGTATGCCATGAAGCTCAACCACTTCCATCTCAGCTGCCTCCGCAGAATACTCAGGCTGATAGGGTAGGATCACGGGCACGGAAGTCATGGAACGGACTAGCGTCCTCAGCATCAATGCCCTACCGAGGCACCTGCAGATGCAGTGAAGCAAAGGATGAGTGGTGCGCGATTGTCCAAACACCCCTTCTGTAGAAATGGCGCTACGGGTGCTCGCCGACCGAAAGTACGAAGATAACGTTACAAGGACACTCTGAGGAACTCCCTGAAGCGACTGCAGACCAACACGGAGACCTGGGGTGTCCTCGTGCAGAAGAGACCAACTTAGAGAAAATCAGTGAAGACTGGCGCCGTAATCTACGAAACAAACCGGATATCCGCCGCCAAATGCAAGAGCGAGGGTCACAAGTCTCAGGAACATCTGACCCGCAACATCGTGACTCAACCTCACTTAACATGCCCTCACAGTCAACGAAAATTTTATGCGCGGATTGTCCTCGTCGGCCATCTTTAACCTAATGCACCAGCCGCCCGAAAAGCGCAACTGTTGCCTCAAAAACCGCCCCGGTCCCAACCCCCGCGTCTATCACGACGGCACCCACTGTCATCACCGTTGCTCAGAATTCCTGTGGCACGCTGCCGTCGACCAACGCCGCCTCCACAATAACCGTGGGGCGTCGAACAAAGCATCCTCCACCAACCGAAACGCTTCTGACGCTTTGTCAACCACCAGCATCATCACAACCCCCACCTCCTTCGATGTAGACTGGATCCCAGATTGTCCTCACTGCAATCGCACATTGCCCTCGCACATCGACATGGTCAGTCTCTTGGGGACTCATAGCACAATGACCGACGCACCAGTGCTCTGAACCCTGACATACACCTGCCGTACCCGAACCCACTGCACATTCACTCATCGTAGGGGCCCATTCGTCCACATGCTCACCCAAGAAGGCAGAGCTAACCGTGGTATTGACACCTCAAGCACACACTGCATACAAGACAATACTCCCATATACGGTGCCAACAACTCCCCATCTACCAGCACGAGTACGGTCAACATCACCATATCTGCCAAGTATGTCCGACCACCGGTGCTGTCGGTGGTGTACCGCTCGCCTAACCAGACTTCACTTCAATATCATAACCGAATTGTATAAATCCAGGGGAAGAAAGATGTCCTCATCGTTGGAGATTTTAACGCTCCTGACGCTGATTGTATATGCATGGTAAACATGGACGGCGCAAGGTCCACAAGACAACTTTAACCACAAGCAATGGGCTACAGACAAACTTCGCTGTCAGAACGTTAACTTTGGAACGCGGACTAGGGAAAGACAATAGTCAAACTGCCTTGATCTTATTTTTACCAGTGAGAGGTAAAATGTGTTAGGCATGCAGACCCGACCGCCTTTAGAGTTAAGCGACCACATTACGCCGAACTTTGGGTTCTCATTGTTTCCAGAACCAATTCTGCCAAACAGGTGGGAGAGGAACGTTTGGAGAGGGGAGGAGAGGATTGTCGGAAGTATCATTGGCGAGAGAACTGTATTGAGGAGGAAACGACAAGTGGAATGCTTTAAGTCTCTTACTGAAATAGATTGCTTATTCCACCTTTCCACTTAGAAAAAAGACAATTATAAGGCGCCCAAAATGGATAACCTCGAACTTACAGGCCTCTTTCAAAAAGGAATCGCCTTTGGTCCCGTTACAAACTATCCGGCTCCGAAAAGCACTCATGGGAATAAAAGCAGCATCACAGCAATTGTAAGAGCGAGGCTGCCAGGCTGCGAAGAGAATTCGACATGAAAATACTGCAAGCTTCCTTGAAACACGCGAAAATTATAAATTGCTGTATATTAAGTATTTAAGAGCTAAGTGACTCATCCCTACCCTTAGGCCTGTGAAAGAAAATGTGAAGATTAATGACCAGGTCAAAGCTTCCCTTCTTTCTTATTTCCTTCAGTCCGTCCTCATCCGAGAATATATATTCTCCTACTCACTTTCGCCCTCTTACCCCACCCCCCTACCCCCTTCAATCAAGTAACAACACTTTTCATTGGTTGTAATTGGGGTCGAACTACACCGACTGAAGCCAGTCAAATCGCCTGGCCCAGATAGAATTCCAGCACTAGCACTTCTTGAAATTGCTAATGAACTGTGCGAGCTACTGTCTATAAAATTTTAAAAGTCCTTTGAAGAAGGAAAGTTCCCACAAGAATGGGAGTGTCATTGACCACCCTGATCCATAAAGGAAGTTCACGGCTTGACAGCGGAAATTATCGTCCCGTCAGTCATACTTGCACCGCGTATAAGATAATCGAACGCATAATCAAGAGACATTTGATGTAATATCTGGGAAAAAACAAAATACTGCGCGATGGCCAGCACGGATTTCGTCCAGGGTGCTCATGCCTAATGAGTGCTCCATACTCGCATGAAAAGTAAACAAGGGCCACAGATTAGGGTTATCCAGTAAATGTTGTATTTTTTGACTTCAAAAAGACCTTTAATAATGTCCCACACAACCTTCTTTTACAGAAGATCTGGAATGTAGGAATTCAAGGAAGACTGTTTAAATGTGTAGTCACTGGAAACATTCAGTACGACCCACGCACGAGCATTTGACACATTTTGGGTCGCTCCCTGGCTATGGAAGCGCTGGACAGATTCGTTAAGCACTGCACCAAACACACTTATATGTATGTTGCAGAAAGTGTAAGAATATGTAGACACTATGTCAATTGTAACCAAAAGGGAGTTCAAAGGCGCCCGCCTATCTTTCCTTTATTAAATCTGATCTGATCTGATCAATTGTAACGACGAGACAAACACCCAAGAGAGAGGAGACGACAATAATAATAATAATAATATTAAATGCCAGTTTACAGGCATCGTCACGGAAGGTTAGACACAAATACGGCCAGCAGTGAAAAAAACTCCTGACACAAAAATAAAAATAACGTTCATGGTAGTCTTTTATAGTTCGGAGGTTTCAGGAGAAAAAAATTGCTGCCCACGAAATGACGGC